AAATTGCATTAACCGCCGATTATTGTCATAATCTGTAATTGCAGTACCAGAATCGCAATAAACAGGTAACGGAGCTAAGCAAATTAATTCATCCCATTTTCATTTCAAATTCGTGTAATATTCTGTGACAGAACTGCTACCTTGCTTGTATCCCGCAATGTCCCATTCAATTTGATAGATCATCGGCCCATTACTCTCTCTGTAACGCTGCTTTAATTCGTCCCAAAGGGCTTTTGCATTCTTACAGAATACAAACGCATCAAAGATGTCTTTAGACATGGCATTTAACAACCAAGAAACCACCATGCTATCTGCCGTCAGCCACTTGTCATAATCATCAGAATCTGGCGCTGGCGCTTTAATTTTCCCATTAATAAACCCTAATTTTTTCTTAGCTCGAAGAGCTATTTGAACAGATCGAGTCCAAAAGAGGTAGTTTGGTCCCTTCAAGGAGGTGTTAACAAGACTAAATCCAGGAGCATCAGAATTACTAATATGATACGGATCATCCGCATTATTCCTTGTGTTGATAACAGTGAGAATCTTCGCTAAATCATCCGGAGACATCATTCTAAGAAACTGAACTGGAGTCAATATCTAGAAATTGCAGAGAAAAAAAACTCTATTTTGGCTCTGATACCATCTAGAGGATTAAGGAAACCAACATAATAAGATCATAATTGAATAAGGAGCTAAATGACAAACTCCTTCTCATCATCTTTGTTTGCTGCGGATGGTTTACATATATACAGGATAAAAATAGTTATAACAGACCTATTCTAAAGGAGTCCTATTCTAAGGGTTTGTTATAGTTTGTTACAACATATATATCCTTTACATAGGTAATTAATTTAATTAATTAAAAGAGAGACATCATAATATAATTTTTTAATTAAATAAAGGGAAAAATAGTCCGTTTAGAATTTTAATATTCCTATTGCCCCGGTTTTAATAAATAATACTTAGATTGTTCATACAATAAAAGTTCAGTCCCAAACCTTGGTACCACGTTAAATTTGGACCCTAAATTAATCAAATTCATTAACAATCTATTTGTTATTTGGGCTTACAACGAGTTAAGCTTACATTTAATACAAAATGACTACCTATTTCATTTTGATTAGTTAAACTTTCTTGTCATATACCATTTGATCTTCTACATATTTCCAATGTGGAATTAACCCACACTCTTCTACATTCCCCCCTCAAATAAACTTGACAAGTATACAATGGCTAAACAGGAATCCATCATGGTACAACTCATTCCGAAACTTCCTCATGCGATACAAGTTCAGATCTCAGGCTCTTACCGTTTTAAATCTAGGCCCTAATAGCAACTAATCAAATTCGTTGACAATTTATTTATTAATTTAACTAACGATGTGTTGATCTTAACTTTAACACAAAATGACCTAAATCATTTTATGTAGGTTTGGACATATTTGATTCAACTATTCATATTAGTTGATAACTGATAGTAGTTGCTGATAGTTGATGACAGTTAGTTGATGAACGTCTTGCTAGCAATTACTATTAAAATATAAAATGACTATTAAAAGTATAATTATTTTTATGTATTATGATATTTAGAGTATATATTTTTTATTGTTATAGGAAATATATTATTTTTATTTTAATGTATTATATTAATTCAAAAATTAAATAATTATAGATAAAATGATAAAAAAATTAATTTTATTAGTAATTTTTTTATAAGATTAATAAAATCTAAATATAATTGAAAACCAATTAACAACCTAACGGTTGAATACAAATTAACTATCAGTTACGTCAATCAACTTAACCAAACACCACATTAACTTTCTTATATATTTCCAATGTTGGATTAACTCACACACTTCTATAGATATGCTTGAAAATAGCCAAGTGAATACAACTTTTCTTTTTTGTGCACCCGGCCCTTCTGTCCTTGACGCAGAACGAAAATGTAAACGGGTAAACGATTATACTCCGTCAGATGTTTTGATGAATATCGTTTGATCTGACGGCGAATGGATAGACGATTATACTCCGTCAAGAGTTTCGATCAATATCGTTTGGTCCGACGAATAGAAAAAACTAAACTTTCAAAGAAGTTTATTGAATATGAATAATGATCAAAAAGTAATATCTGCTCATAATAACAAAGAAACTTATTTATAGGTTTAGGCTAAAACAGAAAACCCTAAAATAAAACACAAAAATCATAATTGGGCATGTCAAAGACAACGTTGATAAGGGCGGCAGCACGGGCATGCTGGCATGGACACAGACGTGTCCTGGACTTTCAGAGACAAGCACGGGAATGCTAGCATGGACACGGGCGTGCCCCTGCTTCTTAGTCTTGAGTGTGACTTGTGTCCGAGACTTCCAAAGCCGAACACGGGCGTGCTGTTAGTGGCATAGGCATGTCTCTTCTTTTTAGGCTTACAGCGGTCCAAATCTCCGTATACTGAATTGCAAGTCGCTCCGCATCCATCCTTGTCTAGCTTTCAATTGATAATTGTATGAACTAGCGAGGAACTTGTACATGTAAGTAGCACTTCATTGCAAACAACTGCCACTTATACATGTAATGGCGGAATAAGGGGTGGTCAGCAGGGGCTATGGCCCCTCACTCTAAGAATTTATGTGATATAAATGTTTGAGAAAATGTTCAATATGTAATGCAGCTTGGTGGAAAATCTCTTTATTGTAGTACCTTATAACCAAGGCTTAAATCTTAGTTACAAGCATAATTAATATTTTTATTTGCTTTTTAATACCTTTTATTTTTAAAAAATTTAATTGTACGGAACTTTTCATTACTCATCGATAATATTTAACTCAGTTTGTTCGAAACTTTTCATTACTCATAGATAATATTTAGAATTTGAAATCAAATTAAAAGTCTCATTTAATTCAATGATTTGACATTTTTACTAAAAATATTTATTAGAGTTGATTTGACCTTGAACTATAGTATAAACCAACTTATAAAACATTTACGGGAGTTGTTTTTTTTCATTAAACAATTAATAAGTTCCGTAAACAATTCATTCAGAAAATTTTAACTTCAATTTCCTTAAAAATGCATTTAACAATAAGTATCGATTAAATGATTAAGGTATACATATTATTTATTTCCTCCCATTCTTCATCTCTTCATTTTCAGCCACATTGCATGCAGTTTTTAGGTTTTATGCCTCCTTTATTGCTGCATCAATTGCGTTTAAATATTTTATTTTAAATGTGACGCATTTTCGTTATTCGGGTACATATTCCTCATATCATATTATCATATTTCAACAAGATAAAAAGAAATGCATGTCTATTGTAATATACATTCCATTAATTAAGAATAGAAAAGTTATTATGCTTCCAATCTGACATTGTATGAGCATATTTTATCACAAATTACTTGTGTTTAAAAAAATGAGCATGTCTTGTATAGGTCGGGCATTAAAAATTTTGCTGCAAAAAATTGCAAAATACTTTCTTTATGAAATGGGCACATTTTTAATTGAATGATAATTGTTCATTTGATTGTTGAGTGCAATTTTATTGTAATCCGTCCTTTAATTATGGATGTAAGTCATTAATGCATTTATCAAAATAAGCTGGCATGAGATGCTTAAATTTCTCTACGGACACTCAATTAACGCAATGTTAGTTGTATGAAGTTAGTTAGAGTTTTTTAATTTCTGTGTAAAATTAGTTGTATCCATACAAAGAATCCAAGGGATTATTTTTTCAATATTTATAATTTCATATTTCACTTGTATATACTTTCGTTCTTTTAAGCTTAAATCTTGGGTTCTGTACACATGATACAAAATAGCTAATATATGTCGTATATTGGAAAGTTTTATTGGACAAGTTGAAAATCCCTGTCCCTTGTATTCTCGTTGAAATGAGTCTCAAATATTTACGAACAGATATAAAACTTGTTTCCACATGTTAAATATACTGTTCCATTCTTACTTACTAGGCGCTATTGTAATAAAGAGATAAGAGGAAAGGTGTTATGCATCATTCCAGCTATTCTAGCTACTTAGGATTTAGGAATAGAGACCTTTGATAACCAAAAAAAAAAAAAAGATAAGAGATAAGGAAATTGTTGGACAGTGATGTCCAGATTTACAAGAACAAAATGTCCCATCTTTCCTTTTCACTGTGCAACTTCTTGGAATTACCCTTTCTTTCTTTTTCACCCAATTTTGCCCTTCCCCATCAAAGAAAAAGATTACATAAAAAAAAAAAAAAAAAAAAAAAAAAATAATTTTTCAATATTGTACTACGATTTACCCGGCGGGTGGCGGCATATGGTCACTGGGTGAGTAGTGTAGTACGTTTCGTGTCTTTGAAGCTTAAATGGGTTGGGTTCTGTACACATGTGCAGTAGCAAGAATAGGGCTAAGTATTTATGTCTATAGTTGGTAAAGTTTTTGACCATAGTGAAAAATCCCTTGTCACCTTGTGATTCGTCGTTGGAAGATGAGTCCTCAAAATATTTTACGAACGAGATATAAACCTTGTTTCCACATGTTAAATATAGAAGACTGTTTCCATTCCTACTTACTAGGCGCTATGGTCGTAATAGAAGAGGATAAGAGAAAGGTTTATGCTATCGCATTCCAGCTGAGTTGGCGTTAGGCTGAGCTTAAGGAGGCATTTAGGAGGAGATATGGAGGAGCCTTTGGAGTAGAGCCGGAGAGGAAGAAGAAAAAGGGGGAGGGAAGGGAAGAAGGAGGATTATGGGAGGGAGAGGTGTGCGGGGTTGGGGGAGGGCAGGTGATGGTCCGCGAGATTGTTAAACAAGAAAGCGAAATTCGTCTCGCAGGGAGTCTGGTTCCTTTTCGACTGGTGCAGTACGCGGGGGTCTTGGAAGGTTAAAGACCGCTTTCTCTCTGTTTTGTTTCTGTGTTTCACGGCAATTTTGCCTTGGCCCATTGTCAAAGAATAAATGATTACATAAAAAGAAAAAAAAAAAAAAAAAAAAATAAGCCAAAGCCAAAAAAAAAAAAAAAAAAAAAAAAAACCAAAGCCAACCAAAATGTTCCTTGTTAGTACCTACAATACACACGTCCTCGCAAGAAACAATTACAATAACATGACCCAAAAAATATAAGAACATGACCCAATAAATACAATCCTTTCTTTTTGTTTTTTTTACTCTCTTTCAACCTCTAAATGGAAGACCTGTTCTTATGGTAAAAGAAAGAAAGAGAAGGATTTGGGTAAATTGAAAGGTAAACAGTCATGTACACTACTTAAAATGGAGCCGTTGACGTTCGATGAAGCATGTGCTTTTTGGGAAGTTGAGCAGCTGCAGCTAAATATAACTGCACAAAAACAAAAGAAACACAACATCAACATCTAACTGGGGGTATATATATATATATATATATATATATCTTCAAACTAACATATTAGCTGCAAACTGGGTATTCTGATATTGTTAAATATAAGAAAACTAATTTTGCTGAATTAGAAAAATGCAAAATCTCAAAAGCAAACAAATGTTTTTGTGGGTTCATTTCATTTTCTTTATTTATTAATTTGCCTAACTTTCTTTATTAATTCAGTACCTCCTCCAGTTGACTTCTAAGTCTTGCATTTTCTTGCTCTAATTCTTTAACTGTATTCTCTAACTGCTGAGTATAAGCCTGCAAATAACAATAAAATAAAAGAATAATCATAAATAGCTTCAACAAAATGAAACTAACAACAACATGAAAAGAAAATCAGGAAATTTTTCAGAAAAGTCAGATAATTTCCTGTTTTCTTGCTCTAGAACGAGCAGCAGACTCTCTGTTCTTAATCATTCGTTTATGGCGACGATCACAAGAACTGCTATCAGATTCTTGAACCCTTTTTTTCCCAAAACAAGGCAAACCAGAAGAGGAATCGAAACACCCAAAAAGATCACTATTATTATTGTTATTGTTATTAAAAGAAGAAACAATAGTTGAAAACTGAAGACGATGATGATGTGGCAGGCGCGAACTAACAGGTCTAATAATAAGTGGATCAGAATTTTCAAGGAAATCAAAACCTACTGGAATAGAGTTTAAACTCAAAACAGTAGCAGGAGCTGCGGCTGTTACTGCAGCATTTTTAGTAGTAGTAGAAACTAGTCTTTTCGGTGGATCTTTGTTAAAAGGTCTAGCAAAGAAATCTTGAAGAATAAAATTAGGGTTAGGATCAGAAGAATGATTATCATGAAGAGAAGCAAGATTAATATCTTTCCATACTTCTTCCATGGTTTTTGCTTTCTGGGTATTATGACAAAATGGAGATGGAGAAGATGAAGAAGAAGTAGAAGACGAAGAAGATGAAGACAGTCTGTTTAGACGATTGCGAGTACTCTCTCGATCAGCAGTAGATGACAACATTTAGGAAAATAAAATAGTTTACCTTAAAATAAGAGAAGGAGAACAAGAAGAAAGAAGCTTATAGCTCTATTTTGAGCTCCTTTTTGTCCATTGAGAGCGACTGTTGAGCATTATAGAGAGAGAGAGAGAGAGAGAGAGAGAGAGAGACTTGGTGGTATTGGATTTGACGTTAATATATCATTTGAGTAAGAATGAATTGGAAATATACACTGGGAGTGGAATTGAATGCTTAATATTATTATCTGTCTAATGTTCTATCTATCTATCTATCTATCGATGTATCGTTTCCAAAATGTAAGGGTTGGAAAAACAAATGATACAAAAGAAAAATCCAAAGTCGACTATAAGCAATTCCTGCTTAACTTGACTCGAATTCGTACTAAGCTTTAAAGATGCATAATTTGGGAAGTTCATTTATTTTTAATACTTTTGGAAGGGTATTTTTAATATCATTCTCAGTGTTATTTCTCAACTTAAGTAATGCTAGTGTTTCAGAATTAATTTTGTTTTACACGTAGTTGATTAACTTTGATTTATATGTAGCTTTAGTTGGATATATATTTAGGTCAATTTACAGACTATTTTGTACTATTCATGTTCCATAATACTCGTTACATCTAAAAAAATCATGAAATTATCTAAGTTATAATAAATTATTAAATAAATTGATTATATTACCATAATTTAATATATCCAAACACCAAATTAAATTTTAGATTCTTTAATTCTCACGTTTTGCCCAACCATAGTGGTAGAGAGATTTTGGGAACACAAGAAAGTAGCAGTAAATAAAAAAAGAGAAATTTTTTGAAGAATTGAAGCAATAATTATTGATCATATACAAAAGGTAAACATGAAAAAAAAAATTTATTACTCCTTCAAACCACAAATGTGACAAGTATTTTGTAACATTTAAAATGAACATAACAGAAAAGTTTTATGAATAAAATTGTCTTTAATCATAATAATTTTTTTTTCTTAATCTGTGTAAAAATAAAAAGTGGACTATCTTTTTGAGATGGAGGGGGTAACTTTTAAAGGTTAAGTGAGCATTTAATGAAATATTATCTTACTTAACATTAATGAATAATTTTTTTGACATTTTATACCCATTACTTTTTTACAAATTAACAGGAAATATAAAATTGTTCCCTCTATTTTTTTTATCATTTTAAATTTAACAGTTAATCAAATAGTTATTTTTATCGAACATTTTCACTTTTAAATCATTAATTAAACAACTAACAGTTAATACTTACCCGCCAACAACTAGTATAACAGCTAGCATTGTCGAACAGATTCTATATCTAAATTATTTTGTGCAATCAAAATTAATTGGCTAAGCAGTGTTTCGTTACTTTTGTAATTTACTTCAACTTGTTCATTAATAAATTAATCCGCTAATTAAGTAAGTATAGAGAAATTCCTTGTGTAATGCAATCTCGGCAAAAACACTTCTATATCCTTTATGCTGAGATTAAAGATGACATATGGCAAAGATAAAAAAACTTCGATTTTAAGGGTCTACACCTAAATACTACTCCCTCTATTTTATTTAAATAGAGAAAATTAACTTTTCATACATATCAAGAAGTTAATTTAACTGTAATTTTTATCCATTTTTTTCCTTATTTGTCCTCAAATCAGTATTAACTCCCTCTCAACTTTCTATGCATGGTCACACATGCAGAGATTAAATATTAGTGTTTTGACAGTAATTAAGCAAAAAACATTCCCACATTGGAAATTTAGGAAATTTAGGAAATAGTGAGTCCTTTGCCTATAAAAGGAGCTTACCTCCTTAAGTTTTAATCATCTCAACTTGTCTTCCAATATCTTGTGGGTTAGACAAGTTTCTCTCCTCTCTCAATTTGTATATTTCTTTAGTGAAATATAAATTTGGTAGTGTCTGAGGACGTAGGCAAAATTAGCCGAACCTCGTTAAAATTCTGGTGTTCTCTCTTATTTATTGCTTTTAAAATTCTGGTGTTCTCTCTTATTTATTGCTTTTGTCTTTATTTATTTAATAGCTATTGTCGGGCAAAATATTTTTGGTGGTTATTATTTGATTAATTGCATGTCTAGGTAAATTCTGTCTAGGCAAGTGGATTTTAAGTAAGACCGTTTGTGACTCCTCCACTTATCTGGGAATTTACCTGGTATAGTTACTCAGTACAGTAATTCACAAATTGTTTTTAATTTGGTGGAAAAAGCCCAATTTCCACAACAAATGTGTCCATATTCAGAAACTTATCCATAGATCTGTCCATATAAAGTGCACATGAATTGCAAAATATATTGTCGTATGAAAATCTTATCCCACTTAAATCAGTCTGCGTCTTAAAAAGTTATATACGTTTTAATAATATGATAGAATTTGCATTCAATACAGGTTATTTTCAATACTTTAAATGTATTAAATAAGTATATAATTTATTGTATGCCACTACCTAGAAATTCTCCCACATTTAGATCCAAATAAAAACAATACAAGGATAACCTGGATTATTCATTTTGGTTAGTTTCTCAAAGTTATCAAATGAGGTAGAATTCTATATCTAAATGATAAAAAAAAAGGTCAAAAAATGAAACTTTCTCGATCTAACTAGAATTGATGGAATAATATAATTACATTTATTTTCTCAACTTAATAGCATTTTAGGGGTGCTTAATGATCATAAATGTTATACTATTGTTTCTTTTAGCTGACTTAAGAAATATTCCTTTTTTTATTCACTCAAGCTGCGGTAACCTTCAAGATTCAAGCACGAGACCTTTACTTTTTATACTAGTGAGAAATCAACCAGACTATATTTAGTTAGCGAAATATTCTGGTCTTATATTTGCTTGATGTGGTTTTAAATTATTTATTATATTCATTCTCAAATATAAGTCATTTTAGAATGATTGTTTTATCACAAATATATTAATATATTATAATATTATATAAATATATATATACCGTTTTGAGTATTTTAAGTAGTAATAAATAACATTTTTCTAATGTACATTTATTTATATTAGATACAATAATTATTTTCACAAGTTATCCTTGGTTTTGAGATAAAGGGTAAATTACCCTTGATTTTATTATAATTTTAAAAAATTAATTGTTTCTTTAATCTCGTACAAAAGCCTTCAACCACTTATATTTTGGAAATATTAACAAGTTAATGGTTGAGGCTTTAATGAGATCTGAATTGCTTTAAGCGGATCAGTTTAAATCAAGTTACAAACTTGCAATAAAAAAGCATATAACTATTTAAATGTATTTTGTGCTAAATTTGTAAAAAACTTTTGTGGCATCTTAAATTCGACGGGAATCCATTTTGCTATCAAAGTTATAAATCTTGATAATATTTCACATCTTTCTACGTACAACAATAGTTTATAGCAATTTTGGCTTTTATATGTAAAATACTAATTTTATATGCGATTAACATAAGTTTTAAAATAATAATTTTTTATTTTTTAATTATCTATTATATATTTAATTGGTTTAATTTTATAAGTTATAATATTTGAAAAAATAATTTTTATAAATCAAAATATTCGGTACGTGCAATTTTATAAATTCAAATGTTTAATAAATTAAATTAAAAAATTAATTGTAATATGAGATCTTTCGTGAAAAATACAAAAGTATATATACATTATATATATAGCCATAAAATAGCTAATAAGTCTTTCCTACGTCTCTGTCAAAGGACATGTAAATAGAGTTTGGATTTTTTTTTTCAAAAGAAAATTACTTAAATAGATTGAATTTTTAAAATATTATTTTTCATGAATTGGATGCATAAGACAATTGTTTATATTTAATGTAGGCAATAAATTGATAATTATCACATCATAGATTAGGGTTTCACTCAAATATAAACTCGGTAAAGTATTTAGTTCAGTTATTCATATAGTTGATAATTGATTCATATTCAATAGCGAGGTTTTTTTCTATCAGCAACAAAAAAATATATATATATATATTATTAGAATTAGAAATGCCAAGAAAAGTTTAGCATTTTTAAAAGCATATCTCGAGCCAATAGGCTTTCCTAATACACCCACAACTAGCCTAAATATGTTAAACAAAAAACCTGACAAAAACAATAAAGATGGATCACGAAAACCTCTCATTCTCTTGGGCTAAGAAAAAGAGACGCAAAATATTCCAAAAAAACTCACTACAATCAAGCAACATTAAAAATAATTATAACCAGGCTAAAAAGTCCACTACAGGGTTGAAAGAAATATGTGTACAGAACAAGGCTGTCGGTGTTTTTGAATATTCGAATCCAACAAAGGGTGTTGATTAATTGATAACTGATAAAAGTATAAAAAAGTTTTTGATTCCATCGACTACATTTTGAAACTTTTTCATGTCAGGTGCTAACTATTTTTTAATATTATTTTATTTGAACTCTACCAACCTTCGAAAAATAACTACTAATAAAATTTTAAAATTTAATATTTTTATGATTATTTTATTTATATTTATTTAAAATAGTACAAATTTTAATATATATATATATATATATATATATATATATACACAATCACTAGTGTATAGAAACCCGTGCGTACGCGAGTAATAATTTTTTTATAATTTCGACACAAACACAACACGAAAATTAAACGGTTGACACGAGTACGACACATTTAACCCACTTAATATCATAAACAGGTTAAGTAGGTCATGTTGACCCATATACAACTAGTATAACCAGCTTAATATCATAAACAGATTAAGTGACTTATATACTCCTAGGATGTATTGACTTATGTACGACCTACTTAATCTGATTATAGTATTTTTAACTTTTAATCTATTTAACTTTAATCATATTTAAAAATAACTTTTCACACGTAAAATACATAAATTCTTGTAAATTTATAATTAAAATAAAGTAATACAATAATAAAATTTGAATAGGTTTTAATTGGAGTATTATATCTAATATTAAAATTACCTCTTTACTCTTAAATAAACGGATCACTCACCTAATCTGCGTGTCAATCCACGACACAATAGGTTTATATTCGTGTCATTATAAATGGATGACTCATTTATAACATGAATTCATTTAACCTCAACCCTAACCATTATTTTGCGTGTTAGGCGAATCGTGACCCATTTTGACACCTCTGACCTGCATCAAAAAATGCACACACACTGTTAATATACTTTTCAATAGTGATAATAATTTGGAGAATTTAA